CCAACCCTACCTACCACAGGCGTAGGGTTGGCGCCCACAAACAGAAACTGGAGGTTCTTTCTGACGTGCTCGAGTAAGTGCGGATCGCTAGACATGCTTGGGACCAAAGGAATATTTTCTTTTTTGCATAAAGCACACACTGTCTTCGAGGACACGGCAATCAGAAAAATGGGGAAGACTCGGATCTTGGATTGCCGTGTGACGACAGGTAAGCTTTTCTTGCTATATGAAGTTTATGTTAATTATAAATATGTAGAGTTGTAAGAAATGAACACCTCATTTGGGAAATCACTAAGTTTGAATTAAGTGGTTTTCAAAACATGCCTCAGCTCATAGATTTTTAATTTTAAGGGAATTTTAACTTACGTGCAAAGTAGTATCGTTCAATGTGGGACTTCTACAAGGGGAGTACCATAAAAATTCAAAATTCATTTTATTATTACAAATACCAGTCACTTAGAGGTTGGCACATATGCCTACCATCTTGACAAACTCCCCCAGGAGCCGAATGCCCCTGCACCACATATGTGGCAGGCAGCTTCTCCATGCCCTGCAGAAATCACATTTTGGGATTGCCTCACACCTATGCCTGGATCGCCGCTTCCACCTTATCAATATCCGCAAACCAGCATCCTCGCAGGGTATTTTCTTCATGCCACCCAACAGATGATAACCACTGAGGGACCGATCAGGCCATATCCATGCACGACCAGCAACGACTGGTCCTACGACATGTCAAAAACCAGCAAAACCCCATTATGCGCCGCTCAATCACTGCACCGCGTGCATTCACATGAGGCAATGATTGCCGGTGTCTGATCGGCTCTGGCCATCTTCTTGGCACGTTGTACGACCAGTCAAATTTTTCGTCATGCACAGGTATGGCCTGGCCCCCCGTGGTTATCACAGATGGAAAGCACAAAAAGTACCTGTAAGGATGCCTATTCACTGTCCTTAACCCTGTAAGTGTCTTGGACAAATGAGCTCGTCGGCCGCTTTTTGGCTAAAAATGCCATGGACGAGCTCAGCTCATCCAGTGGTTTTTTCGGTAGCCCTCAATTCCATGGACGAGCTAGGCTCGTCCGAGCAGTTTGCGGCGCTGATCATGGATGGCAGCACTTGTTTTAGATGGCGCATTTTGTTTTTTTTTTGCCACCGCTGATTTTTGCATAATAAACTTTTGAAATTTTATCTGTATTACTAGAGGAATAAAACTTCTAAATAAAAAGAATATGGCACTTTTAGGTTACTTTCCAAAAAAAAAGAAAAAAGGGGGAACTTAGGGAGTTAAATAGACACTGACAGGGTATTTATGCTCGCCAGGGTTCTTATTTGCACATGACATACGAGAGCCCAACTACCCAGAACACAATTTCCGGCTCGAAATTCGGTTTCTTTACGCCTGAAAACAGCCAATTGAGAATCGGCCGGTTCGAGTTGCGCTCACTCTCGTCTCCGCGGCCATGTGCCATATTCAATATAATAAAGTCGTAAGCACACACTCAATGTTAAAAAAAAAAAAAAATATGATGTCCATTTTTAGTGGCTTCTAAAAAGCTGCAAATACAGTGATTAAAGAAACAAAAGTTGCACAGCCACGTGACTTCTGCCAACTCTCTCCTCCTTTATACTTCTTCTTCCTCCCCAGTCCAGTTTCGGTATCGGTTCTGAGCAGTTGTGATTTTACTTTATTAAAAATATATGTACCGCTGTTGCAAAATATTGATTGGGTAGTCTTCTGACACCATAGTGAATCGCCTGGCAAAAAAAGAAAAAAATTTTGGGGTGTGTCAGTGTCCCTTTATGCGCTGGAAGCAGTTGTCCAGTTGTGCGCGTAAGGCACTCCCAAAAAGTGTGTCCAGCAGGGAATGAAAACGCTGCCGGACAGGTGGTGCAAGGGCATTTTGCTCCAAGAGGAGTTTGTCTAGAAGGTGGACATATACTGATCAGCCAAAACATTACGACATACACTGCGCAAATGAGCATGCCTAGCTGACGTGCCATCCGCATTATCCACCGCCTGCTAATGCGGATGGTGTAATTAAAGGCTGCCAGGGATACCGAGGGATCCTTTTGTCGACTATGTATGCATGTGCTGGGAAAAGCTGCTGATTTAGGTGACTCTGACAAAAAGCAGAAAGTGACGGTCTAACGGCTCGAAATAAGTATCTCGCCAACTGCAAAACTCGTCGGGTATCTGCCAGCTGCCGTCGTTAGTATGTATCAGAAGTGGAAAAATGATAGTGGAACCGTTTATAGGTGCTGAGGCGTTGCACCTTCATGCCTCATCACGGAATGTGGTCAATGTGGTCGTTGGAGGCTTTACCCTGTTGATTCAACGAAATAGGCAGCTACCTGCGGCTCACCTGACAGCTGGATACAATGCAGGTCAAGGTACAAGTGTTTCTGAGCTCACACTTTATCCGACTTTTCTGGATATGGGACACCGCAGCAGACAACTCTTGCAACCATTTTGCAAGCCAAAGATGAATCTGCATGGTGTAAGGTATAGGTGGTCATGATATTTTGGCTGATTAGTCTATGTGCCGACCTCTAAGTAACCAGTATCTGCAAAAAAAAAAATTAATTGTTAATCAATACGGTACGCCCTTCATAGAATGTGCTGATGCAACCACGAAAGTACACAAATGTGTACTTCATAGTGTCGACTATACACCCCGTGCGGGACCTATAGGGGCGCTTTGAAAGCGGCACGCAGCGCCGCGGCTGGCGTGCAATATTGAGAGTGGTAGCAGACGACAGCGTCTCATTGTTTTGGAAGCTATGGCAGTGCAAGTGCCCGTAGGTGGAGCGTTAGTTCTTCGAGCTATGAACTATGAAAAAAGGTGAAAAACTTGATCAAAGAGGGCACGTTTTTGACGTCAACGAACCGTTTGCTACGGCGACATCGGCCTTGAAGGCCAAATGTGTGCTTCAGGCGTGCGTCTCGCAAGAAGCTTACTCCATAACAATTGAGGTTAGTTCTCATTCTTTCATACTCAGAAAGTGATTGGTGCGTACGCACCACCCGTGTGAACGGGTGGTGCGTACTCACCACCCGTTCAAACTATTTAGAATCATCGATGGCCTACATAAAACCGTGGCGAGTGGCCAGGCGGCGTTCTTTTGTTGCAACCATGGATTCGGGTCACGATGATTCGCAGCAGAGTCGCGGCGTCTTACGCAATGCTTCACTTAAATTTCTCACGCGGTGTAACAACATCTTTCATCGTTTATGTTACTTTTCAAAACAAACTTTGGCATGCACTTCTGTTGTTACAGAGTCTGCAGAGCTTACTTAGGCAGGCCGGAAAGCCGGGCTTCGTTTTACAGCGAGGCTGTTTATGGCTAGGGTTCCCTAGACTTTTCGTGCGCAGTGACATAGCCTCGCCTATAGAGGATGCTACGGCAGTGACTAAAAAGTCTATGCTCGCACTGCCGCACGCGCACGCCTTCCCTGCATAAAAGATTCAATATAAACAACCAAAATAAAGCATTGATGAAAGCGTGTGCAAGATGCCATTTGTTTTAGGATTTTGCTTTAGAACAGTTATTGCGGCAGACGCCAGCACCACACGCGCATGCCTTACCCGTATGAGAGATACAAACTAAAAACCCAAAATAAAGGGTTGACGAATGCGCTGGCCAAAGCACGGGCAAGTCGAGAAACCGTCAAACGTTGTCCCCACGGGGCACAACATGTACTTGTTGGTACAACTGACCCCGCAGCACTTTATGATACCAATTAACAGCGCGTTAACAATGCAGGAGCGCACCGCGGGAGCAGGACTGGTATGGCGGCAGCGACACGGCATGGTTTTTGCTTGCTCGGATTCTGAACGACTGTCTTCTCTGATGGCCGCACAGCGGCGCGCTAGTCATCACGCATGGAGCATATGGTGCTATCTCTCTGCACCTGTTGGAAGAACCTCGACCTCTACCTGCTAGGATGTTTTCTTCTCAGAATAACTTGCTCAGATCCCATAACAACTGCAGGTTTGTTTGAAATCCAAATAGAAACATTAAATTCGACAGAGTTTTGCTTTTGCTCGTCTGACATGACTCCCGATTCTTCGAACTTGTTTTCACCTTAAGAACTGCAGTAAAACAGATCTGGCCCCTTGCAGAATGTTAACAATTTTCTCTTTTGTGGGACGAACAGACTTATATTCCCTTTAAAGAATAGTTGCCTGTTATTTTTACCAAAATGTACAAATTTGAAATCCAAAAAGCAGTTTTTCTTTTTCTTTGACGATTAAATTTTTAAAGAACTATTTCCTGAAGTGTGTAAAGTATGTGTCTTGCCTTATTTCTTGAGGCGACGAGTATAAACTTCACAGACACCTGCTGAATACAAATGGGCCCTGCTCAGAAAAACAAAAGGGAGGCTGGAACTGCCTGCTATCTGTCCACAGTATCCCCCAGATTTTTATTTCAATGCAGGTCATCATACTGCCACTGCATTTCATGTTGATAGTTTCCCCTTATCATGTTGGAAGTTCTCTTACCCCAACCACAATGTCCCAAAACCTATACTGCTGCTGTGTCTAGACAGCAACTGGATTTCTGTGACAAACAAAGCTCAGCACAGGTGAAGTGTAATCGGAACCTAGAAACGGCATTGTAGGTTTCTGTGATAAAAACACCTACCACGATTGTTGAATAAGGTGTATGTCGCAATAAAGTAATTATTGCCTTTCCCAAAGGCCAGTCATTTTCGAAGTTTGTATCTTAAAATGATGCGGCCAACAAAACGATAGGGGTGCTGCATGCACATTGGGAGGGAATGGAAACTCGACTCTCTCTCAAATTGTCAGTAGAAGCGTTGGTTCCGGTGGCTTCCTCCGCCTTTGGCAAGCTGAATGTAGGAACCGTCTTCGATGTACCCCAAAGCACGAGGCCCCGAATGTATTCCCAAGCTGAAATAAAGCCTGCGGCCCTATATGCATCCCAAAGCTAAGCGTGGGGCTCCGAGGCGGAGTGCAGCAGGGTGCCCTCACCTGTGACGGGTGCCTCAATGTCAATCATGGTCTTCTCCTGGCGTAGGAGAGTGGCGCCCTCGTTGATGATGCGCAGGGCGGCCGCCTCCTCTATCCGCCCCTCCAGGATGAAGTGCTGCTTCAGGGCATCTATCCTCGGCTTGCCCGTCTTCGAGTCAAACACCTCACTCAGAGTCAGCTTGTGACTAGGGGGAAAGGGGACACCTGCACACAACACAGGCAGAGTCAGCATCATCCACTGAGTACCACACCCTCCAGAATGCAACAACCAGAGTAGCTAAACCCAAAGCACTCCCCACCCTCCCAGTAAACAATGGAATTGCTCAAAACAAGTGTGTGTGAAAGGCCTTTCTTTTCAGCTGCTGCCCAATTCATGGAGCAGGCACTGCTCCATGAATTGGACACACTGCCGTAGTCCATTTCGCTGCAACTTGGCAAACAGTGAAAGCTATGGGGCGTGGGCAAATCAAAACAAATTTGAGGACTTGTGCACCAAACCAACAAAGGGCATCTGGCACGTCCCAGACGAGGATTGAGGGTAAATTTCGACCACTCGGGGATCTGACGTGCAACCAGAAGCTCGGTTACACGGCGCTACGGTGGAAGAGGGAGGTGTGCAAACAAGGCCAGCCTAGGCGGCAAAAGTTAGTTTGTGCTTCGCACATCTCCCGATGAGGGAGCTGTCAGTTTAGAGGCCTTCGCACGCGCTGGACGGCCTTGAAAACGCATGTGCAAATAAGGACGGCTTTTCGAGTGACTCCCGTAGGGTCTCCTACTACCGTCGACGTACTGCGCCATCTCACGGCATTTGTCAGAATTGCAAGCTAACTTTCGACCCACTCGTCCAAACGTCAAGGCAGCAGTTCTTCCATCACAATTAGACTATGTCATATTGCGGGCACCTCAGACAGGAGTTGAATTCACCAAAAGGGGATCCGTAAATCGGCCCTTTGCCTCCAAGCCAGTCGGAGCAGCACACGTGACAATGTTTCGTCGGAGTGCACTTCTCCTGCAAAAAACTGTTCTTCAATGCTCCGACTGGCTTGAGAGGCCCGATGTGTTTGCTCTTTGCCAAGTAATGCAGAAACGGAGCACAGAAGTCATGCAAATATTGAAATAAGTGGCATCTATTCTTCGTCTCTTTTCTATTATCTCACACAGATCAATTGCTATCCTGCTGTCTGTACACTTTACTGCAATGCAATGCAATGCGAGCCATAGGCAATGGGGAAGATCTTGTATGTCTGGGGAATTTCTCAGCCTTATCGGTAATTAACGTCTTAACAAGAGGTTTGTTCTAAATGTACTCACTTTTAAACTAGGATAATGGCCCCAAATTCAAACTTCTTTCAGAGAATTGCTAGTAATTCTATAAGTATGTAGAGTGAAGCTCCATTAAATTCAGCGAGTACAACAGAAGTTTCCATGATTGCAAGCAGCAGGATAAATATTCGGTGGCCTCTTTTCACACTTATACTTTTCCATTTTAAAAAGAATGTGAAGGGCCTCTAAAGTACCATCTTTTGGGTAATTTGTAGGATATCATTGTGAAATGATAGTCAAGATTTACGTTTGGTCACCCAAATCCCCTAGGTTTGAACAAGTTGACATGTTTTTGAAGAAACCCATTGCTATGCAACAAGTGTATTTCTTCTGTCACTTAATAGAACCAATAACCTTAAATCCATTTAGCAGAGACATTCGTTTGCACAACACCAGCCATATGTATGAAAAGCTAAAGATAGGCTAGACCGTTCCCTCACAAAACTCAGTTTGAAACAAAAGCCTTTTTTTGTCTCACCTCGAGAAATGTTGGTGTGTGTTTCAAAAGATCAATTAAATTCAAACGAGTTTTAGTTCTACTAAATCATTTCAAATGTACACATTTCCAGCCCATCAAATATTGGTAACAATCAAGGACTAAGTGTTTCAGAACATCACCCGAAAACGCCTTAATGTTCAAGGCAATAGTGCACAAGTCTCGTGCCTTTACACCGTGAAATGCAAACTTTTACGGGACGATAACACTGAAGTAATTATAACCGTAGCCATTTTCAACAAAGCAAGTAACCAGGAGACATCACTATTTTACGTCCTCAGGCAATGAAAAGCAATTTAAATCTCTCCCTCCCCAAAATCAACAGAAAGCTTTGTGCGACCTTCTTAACGGCCCGAACCAACACAGAAGGCAAACAAAGCCAGGCAACGATACCACAAGCTTCACATCTGTGACCCTGTGCATACACGAGCTCCCAACTGCCACCCCTCACTCCGTCTGACTCTAAAGTGACAAGACGGATGCCAAAGACCCAGGGCTCAATTGAGGGGCCGTTTCATTCTCGCGGGGGGGCTGCCAAGATGACACAGGACCAATGCCAGAAACAAACCGATATCCCCTTTGAGTTTGTGCGGGCATGCCAGCAAAGACGCTCCTTCCTGATGCACCACCGGCCTGCATCTCTGCCCCCGCCGTCCTTTAGGAAAGCCACTTCCTCCAATCGTAGTTCCGTGCGGCCCCACATTGCGACCTTCACCACTTTCCTCGTTTCGTATTGATGACCTTCCTGGTCGCTTCAATCGCCTGTGTCCCGTGAGCCGTGCCACTGGATTTGCGTATCGGACCATACCGACCCGTTCAAAAGTTTGCGGTTGGAGTTGCGCTGCCCGCTGCACGGGTCTAGAAACAGCCCGAATTCAGGACGTCACCAGTCTCTTAATATATTTGTATTCTTTTACTAGCTGAGTGAACCATCCAACTTGCAAGCAGTACAAAATATGGGCTGGAGCGAGCATGCTGCTTCCTCAAACTGCCTGTACACTTGTTGGAAGAGTTAGCTCCGTATTATAAATCAGAGCTGCCAATCTGGTGGACCCACTAGAAACACCGAAAACAGGTTCTCACTTTTTCAATGGAGCAGGGTCTGAGAAAGACCTTTCCCGAGTTAAATATAGGAGGTTTACTGTTTTACTCTCGACAAACGCGGGGCTATAGCACGCAGTACGCTGATAGCGAACCGCTCAGCCGCCTACAGCGATTCCCCGAATATCACTGCTGGCCGCTGGACTCAAAACATGAGCATGTTTTGAGATGCTCCTTCCCGCGAGCAGAGTCCGGCGGTTCACCTGCTCCGAGGGATAAGAGCGACCGGCGAGTGTCGAATTACCCGTGCAAAAGGGGCAAGGCGGTTTCTAAAAACACCGAAGGACGGGCCTTGCACCCCCCAGAAATACTACCATGACCTTAAGCCTAGCCCGAGAGCCCGTGCAATGCCGGCGGGAGGCACACCACCGCCGCAGCGATTTTTAGAAAGCACGGATTTCGCGAATCCCCGCCAAAGAGGGTCCGATGTTGGTGCGGAATTCTCGTGTAACCTCGAGTTGTCGCCACATTTCGCCGATCGGCGCGTCGCCCGACGCTATTACAGTCCCTCGCCTAGCGCTGAAACTCATCAAATTTTCATGCTCATTTCGTGCCACTCGGAAATTATAAAGGCTTCGTCCGAGACCTTTAAAAGGCGCCGAAACCTGTACAGCATCGCGCCGCCTAAGTGCGCCCAACGGAAAGACACTGCCCGGGGCACTCGCTTATTTTGCCGCAGAGAACATGAGTTCCCATGAAGTAAGCGAACGCGAAGATGACAAGCGACGTTCAGTCTCCGACGGCCACCGTCCGCGGCGCCCACAAAACAACGCGATAGCTCGGCAACGGAGCGGCCAAACTGAACGGAGACACATTTTGGGGACGGCTACAAGCATGCGTTAGGTTGCTTTTATGAAGGAGCTTGTATATCGGGCGGCAAAATGCCAGTTATAGTCCCGCGCATCCGATCAGCTGGGCTCGTTTTAAAGGGACCGACGGAGGAGGTTAGGCTTAAATCGCGAAGGGAGGCCTCCCAGGAAATCTGAACGACACCCAGCAGCGTTTCTCGGCGCAGCTAAGAGCACATTCCAGCCCCAAGTAAAGCATTTCTATGCAAACGGATAAAAGAGGCATCGTACTATCGTATTTCGAGGCGTTGGAGGACGTAAACCCGACAAAATGGCGCCAGTTCGTGCAAATACTCCCGGGCTAGCGGAGCCCATGGAGGGTAGAACTAGGGCAGCCGAAAACGACTTACTTTTCACGACCCGTTCCGTCGTTGGTATTTTTGCATTATTCGCCGACATGTTAATAATCCTAGGTGTTCACGTTACAAGAGACACATACGGATGACAATTATATCACTGCGATAAAGAAAGATAACACAATACTACGACTGCCACAAATGGCGTAAACAACAAACTCCTGTTTGCATGCTGCATTGCGCATAATTTTGCGCGCAGACTGGAACAGCCAATGGGGAAGCACCTAGCTGGCGGGGGCGCCTCTTTCGCCGCTCCGAGACCACAGGCGCGCGGATTGGATGAGCGCGCGTGACGTCACGCGAACCGCAGTGGGTTCGTCCGTTTTCAAATTTTGCCACCGAAATTCCCGGATAAAATACCATCTTTCACACGCGCCAACTCGTGAGTATTTCCTGCGACAAACGAAGATGTATACTCAGTTGAGCTGTTGGTGCGTGGATGCCACAAAGACAGGGAAATAACTTTTTAAAGTGCTGCACATGAGCGGCTTCGAGGAGCCCGCTTTCATCTAACGAGGAAGTCTGCTTCAAACGATTCCCAGATTCGTATTTCTCTGCTTCTGGCCTTCAGACACTCTAATTCATAATATCTGCTATGAGTACCTCATTATCTTTCTTTTATTTTCAGATAACCCACGAACTCTCGATTATTTTCTAGTGCCACGAGATTGTTTACATCGGACGCAGCCTCCTGAGCAAGGAGCTACACTGCGAGGCACACGGAATTGGCGGGAAAATCAAACTTGAGAAGGTTCGCGCGATGTTGACGAGTTGTGTAATATTCCTTCCAGGACTAATAAAAGTGAGAGATATACAAAATATTAGTAAAATTTCTGGACAGTATGGCTGTTACACCAGGATAAGCTCACTAATTAATTGCTGGCGGGTATCACCAGATGATTTCTAACTGCTCATCACAACCACCAAGGTTTTTTTTTTTTTTTTTTTTTTATCATTGCTTTAAAGAGGACAACATTTTATGACCTCATTAAAACGGAAAGGTATTAAAAGTAGCAGTAGAAAAATGCCTTTTACTTTTATTTATACATTCATCTCAAGTAATTACAAGCATGCCTTGGTCAGAAATCAGAGGCCGTGTTAGCAACAAAAAACGTAGAAAGAGTCCTTTTCGGGGGTGGCTCCATACCTCCTCCAAAGCTTTACCGACAGTGTTCTTTTGTGTCTGTGTGTGTGTGTGTGTGTGTGCGCGCGCGCGCTTGCGTGCGTGTGTGTGTGCGTGCGCGCGCGGCCGCTTGAGATGTACAAAGCGTCAAATCAACAAACAAAAAAATGTTTAATAAAAATAAAATAAGGACGAGCTCCCAGTGGTAGACTAAGCGACATACTGAGCCCGGCAGAGGTTCCCTCTTGCAGTTCGATTACACAGGGGAACGTAGACCGTGCCGGCCTTACAAGTGGGTGACCTGGGCGGTCGCACAGGGCTAAAGTGAACTGTTCGCTTTAACAGGGCACTGTGGCACAGGACGTCTTCAATTGGGGGCGGGGGGGATTGGGGGGGGGGGGGGGGGGGGCGCCGCGGCGCTCCCTATGAAACTTTTCTTTTGCTTTTTGATTTACTTGGTTACAAGTCTCCCGACACATGCTCCATCGCTGTTCGTTTGTGGAATGCTGTTCTCGGCTGACAAAACGCTTATGTTGGTCCACTACTCGCATGTTTATAAACAGCGCGATTTTGTCTCAAAACAATACTAAACGTAGCAAAAAGAAAAAAAAAAACGGATTAGTGGAAGGGCAACGCAGACACAGCGCGGACTTACAACTGAAAAATTTACTTGCACACGTTACAGCAAGTAAACATAAAAAGAACCGGATAGACACAAAAACAACCAACCCGATAAGACACACCCCTCCTCTATCATGCCGACACACGTCTACACGTACTTGCCCGACTTCCTAATAAAATAAACCTCGTCACTCGCTAGAGCTACGGACAGAGCGCTTACATACAGAGATGCCCGCATCACAGCTATAGCAATAAAAAAAACCTGGTCAATTCCCCTAGCACTGCAGCTAGGCTTGCTTCTGAACCGCGCTAAAATCCTAATGCCATCAAATATCGGACAACATGAACACCTATCACAATGGGCCGCAAGGAAAGAGAGTGTTCCCTCGCCCGCACACTCTGCCACGGGACAAGGGGATCAGGTACACCAACCCACAGGACCAGGCGACATATCGGTTGCGGAGGTTGACATCGCATTGCGCCCAGGGAGCCCGCCTCGATTAACAGCTGCGCACAGTCGCAACAACTTGGATGGTGCCGAAAACACTAAACTGGTACATTGCGCCTGCTGGCAACTTTTTAATACTGTGGGACACCTTGTGAACATACGGCAAGACCACAGATCTGGAAGTTGGCCTTTTTTCTCAAATCCGAGCAAAACGGCCCTCGAAGCACCTCGACCAGAAATTCCACAACACCCACGACTATACGCGGAAAGTTCTCAATTTAATAATCACCCTCTCCCCTCTTCCTTTACAATATATATATATATATTCTAAAGAAATAGGGGAGAGGGTGATTATTAAATTTATTACATCAAAGTTAGGGGAAGGAAAAGTGAAAGAGAGCTAATGAAAAATTGGGCCAGGAGCGGGGATCGAACCTGCAACCTTCGCGTATCCGGGGCAGTCCCAGCAGAAAACACACACACACAAAAAAAAAAAAAAGTGTTTCGCCGTGTTAAAATTGTTTATTGACGAAAACGTGATCTATGTGCACGAGACGAATTTGCGATAGAAATCGTAATGAACATCACTTAAATGTCATTTTAGTTGTCTGGCAGGTCCCATCCTGAATGTCATTTGAAAACCTGAATGTCACTTGGCGTAAATGCCATTTTAGCTGCCGTCTGACAGGGGTATTAGACCATCCCGGTCACTGGTTTCGGTGGACTCAATTTTTGACCAGCTCTCTGTTTTACTGTTAGTTGCGAATTCGCTTAACTGGGCTAGTTCCGAGTTGCGGCAGTGACGTGGCACGTCATTTCAAGTTGTAAATATCGGGAAGGGCCCGTCTTCCAAGGTATATAGGAAACAACTCCTACCCCATGAGGACAGCCTGTCCTGTCCCCATGAGAACAGGCTGCACCTTACGGCGCAGCTAGTTGCAACCTACCACTAAAATTCGAAAGTAATTTGTAATTTCAGTAGAAAATACTCGAAAAAGTAATTCAAGTAAAACTACAAATTACCGAAATAACAATGTAATTCCGAGTTACTAAACTACTCACAAAAGTAGTTAAACCATGCAGTAACTTTAGTAGAGTAGTTGACCTACTTACAAGTCTGATTGGCGACAATGAAAAATCCCTACGTTATACCCGTGTACGTCACTGGCGGGAAGGAGGACCGGCGACCCGCGAAGCAGCAAAGCGGCTTTTCGGGTCACCGGAGATCGAGATGATTTTTTCGGAGCTTTAAGGTTGGAAGTTCCTTTTCAATGGATGGCAGTGTGTACTCCGTGGCAGATTGTACAAACAGTGCCGGAAAAAGCTCTTTTTTTTTTTTTTCCTTGTTTTTGTGGGAGAAGAAAATGCGCTTCAAGGCAGCAGTGTATACCAGCCATGTCAAGGTGCTTTTGCGAGAGCTGACTGCCGAGATAATGTTGATGCTTGGGCTAGTTGGTAATTCAAGCTTGGATGGAACAGCACGGATGAACAGTCACACTCACAGGCACACAAGAAAGAAACAGACTCGCAGCGCTGACTAACAATTCTCAGTCCTATATTTCTTCTTCCTCAGATCAACTTCTTCTACTTCGCCGTTAATGAGAACATTTTAAACTTTTACACACCAGAGACCAAATAACATTAATAAACAACTAATAATTAAATAAATAAAAGACAACTAACAAGTAATATTTAAAAAAAAAATTAAAAGCACCACTTCCGTTTTGTTCCATGCTCTGAAGGGGTGGTCTATGCAATTCCCGTGTCATGCGGAAAACAGACCGGGAGGTGTCTTAATGACCGGTTACGGGAGCATCATTATAACATAAACATAGTAATACCAGGGAACCTAGGAATCCATTGCCGGGATTGCGGGTGTTCAGCGGACCTGAGTAACTGCACTGTCATTGCCAGAAGTGGTAATCAGCTGACACGAAAGATCATCGAAGCTGAAAAAAGAGCCAGGTTGGACAAACAATGTTTTTGTGCATCATCCTTAGCTTTATCAAAGAAAAAAATGGATTATCTAGAGATGTCATCAAAGCACCAATAGTGATAAAAAAAATGTCGTTTAATTTTTATTATATTTTTTTAAATTTAATTTTTAATTTTTTTTAAATATTATATTTTTACTTGCCTTTTATTTATTTAATTATTAGTTACTTATTAATGTTTATTTACTATTTGGTCTCTGGTGTGTAAAAATTTAAAATGTTCTCATTAACGCCGAAGGAGAAGAAGTTGAAGATTTGAGGAAGAAGAAATATAGGACTGGGAGTTGTTAGTCAGCGCTGCGAGTCTGTTTCCTTCTTGTGTGCCTGTGAGTGTGACTGTTCATCCGCGCTGTTCCATCCAAGTAGAGTGTACTATAAGGAACGAATGGGACGAGCTCCAGGCTCCGCTCATGCTTTCAGTTGCACCCCAAAATGTGGAAAGCGATCAGGTGGACCCAAGCCACTTCGATCGCAGTGCCACCTTCGTAGAGTGTACTAGAAAGGACTGAGTGAGACGACCGATGCGTTTTTTTCGGCGCCGCGCTTGTGGAATGATCTTGGCGTTGGAACGCAACGCGTTTTTCATAAAAACCGGCTAATCCGAACCGCTTCGCTCGTAGTGTCCAAGAGGGCGCTATGAGCGAAGTGGCTTGGATTAGCGGGTTTTTTCCACATGCGGAGGTACCTAAGTAGCACTGCGGTCGCCCCACTCGGTCCTTCTAGTACACTCTAAGTCTGCCGCGAGATCTAGTGTCACCTGAATCATTCTCACCTGTGCTCGAAATACTTTACAGCCGCGTGCCAAGGGTAGTGTAGCTTTCTGCAGTTATACTAACGTCCCTGGATATTTGAAAAAAATTGAGGGACTTTAGTTAGAACAGCTTCAAAGTGGCAATCGCAGACTCAAGCCGGCTGTGACCACTACGACTTGCGTCCAAAGAAGAGCGGTAATAATATCGAGAAAAATAGCGCCGCGCATTCTACCATCGACTTTTGGCGCGGGCACATTTATTGCTCA